GAAGGAGAGCTTTTCATCCTCTTTCTTTCTCTGTTGTCAGCCTCAACAAGAGCAGGAGACGAAAAGCTGCACAAGACAGGTGAATCCTGAAAATATTCTAAAGCGATAACGCAGGGAAAACATAAGCTCACCAAGTGAGACTAGGAGCCACTGCAAAACATGTGGATATCTTGGTAGGTAAGACAGGTGAGTATTTCTACTGTCCAGTCTTTAATGTAAAAATTGGTCTCTAGGTTAAAAATGTTTAAAGTATAATAAATAAGGTCAGGTCCCTGGTATATAATTAATATTCTTTAAACTAGATGAAATGAATGGAAAATAATCATTGAAGAGTAAGTTACGGCAGGGTGGCTTTGACCTGGTGAAATGCTCCTCCCGTACAATCTGGGAAATCAGGGAAACATCCTTTCTCCGGAGTCACCATGTTTACAGGAAGTTATCCCGCTGCAGCTACAGAACACCTGTGTTTTGGATCTGGAGCAGCGGCTGGAGTAACTATAAGGCTGAGGTCTTCATGGATAGCGCAGACGGTGAAGTGGTCACATCGCAGTAAAGAGTGCACAGGCAGAAAGGGAATGAGTGACTGCCAGGCATTGTAAAAGCTCCAGGCAGGTAGTGCAGGAGTCCACTGGGGGCATCTCCTCTCTGACAGATTTTCCTTTACGGATACTAGCATTGAGGGGGAAACGTCTGTGGCACTGGGAGTGGCTCTGTGGCATGCGTTGGTGTTGGGTTGATGGGGGGGAAACAGTTGGAAAAAATGTGCATGAGAGCAATAATGCAAGGGGATTCCATGATAAGGGGAACATATAAACTGTGGTCACAGTTGTGACATCAGGATAGTACCTTGCCTCCCTGGTGCCAGGATCAAGAAATCGCTGAAAGACTATAGGACATCCTGAAAGTGAAGGAAGAACAATCAGACGTTATGGTCGATATCAGTACCAACAAAATAGATGAAGAGATGACGTCCTACAAATACAGGTTTGGTTAGTAAGTTTGCAGATGACATCGAAATTGGAGGTGCAGTGGTCAGCAAAGGAGGTTACCGCAGAGTACAATGGGATCTTGATCAGATGGGCCAATGGGCCGAGAAGTGGCAGATGGAGTTTAATTTAGATAAATATGAGGTGCTGCATTTTGGAAAGGCAAATCAGGGCAGGACTTATACATTTAATGGTAAGGTCCTGGTGAGTGTTGCTGAACAAAGAGACCTTGGAGTGCAAGTTCACAGTTCCTTGAAAGTGGAGTCGCAGGTAGACAGGATAGTGAAGAAGGCATTCGGTATGCTTGCCTTTATTGGTCCTACATGGAATATCGGAGTTGGGAGGACATATTGTGGCTGTACAGGACTTTGGTTTGGCCACTTATGGTGTGTTTTGCATGCAATTCTGGTCTCCCTGCTATAGGAAGGATGTTGTGAAAGTTGAAAGGGTTCAGAAAAGATTGACAAGGATGTCGCCAGGGTTGGAGGGTTTGAGCTGTAGGGAGACTCTGAATAGGTCGGGGCTACATTTCCTGGAGTGTCGGAGGCTGAGGGGTGACCTTTAGAGGTGTATATAATCATGGGAGGCGTGGATAGGGTAAATAGACAAGGTCTTTTCCCCAGGGTGGGGGAGTCCAAAACTTGCGTGAATAGGTTTAAGGTGGGAGGGTAAAGATTTATAAGGGACCTAAGGAGCAAGGTTTTCACTCAGAAGGTAGTGCGTGTATGGAATGAGCTGCCAGAGGAAGTTGTGGAGGCTGGTACAGTTACAACATTTAAAGGGCATCCGGATGGGTATATGAATAGGAAGGGTCTAGAATGATAATGGCCAAATGCTGGCAAATGAGACTATATTTATTTAAGATATCCGGTTGGCATGGATGAGTGGGACCAAAGGGTCTGTTTCCATGCTGTACATCTCTATGACTCTACGACAACACAAGGAGCTACAAAATAAGTGATGACTTAGAATCTTGGTAGTAATCTCTGCAATAAGACATCCTTGTTCTGTATTCAAACTCTTCTGCAATGGAGGTCAAAATAGCACTTGCCTTCCTAACTGTTTGCTGTACCTGCATGCTTGTCTTCAGTGACCAGTGTACAAGGGCACACAAGACCCTTTGTACATCAACATTTCCTTTTCTATCAACATTTAAATAATAGTCCGCCATTCTGTTTTCCTACTGAAGTGGACATCTTCAAATTTATTCAAGTCGTACCGCATCTGCCTATTTGCCCAACTTATATCAGTCACCTTGAAGCCTTTTGGTATCCTCTTCACCACTCCCTTTCTCACCTGGTTTTGTGTCATCAGCAAACTTGGAAATATTATATTTGATTTCCTCATCCCAGTCATTGACACATATTGTGAATGGCCAGCGATCCCAACGTTTTGTGCCAGCAAGATCAGGAATTTGAGAAGAGACTGCCTTAACATGTTGCTGTAGAGGTTTAGATTCTTGAGGCATTGGGATTCATTGTGGGGGAGATGGGACCTGTTCAAGCTGGACAATTGCACCCCAGCAGGACTGACATCAATATCCTCACAGGGGCATGAGCTAGTTCAGTGGGGGAATGTTTAAAGTAGAGTGGCAGTGGGCTGGGAACGTGAACGGGAAGGCAAGTCTGAAGGAATCAAAGATGGAAACAAAAGATAGAAAAGTCGAAAGCAAAAGGAGATGACAGAGGGAAGAAGGGCTATCAGCAAATAGGGTCGTGATTCAAAAAAGAAAGGATGAAACTGTAAAGAAGAGAAATTTAAAGGTCCCAAAGCTGAATACGTGGAACACTCGTAATAAGGTGGACAAATTAACAGTGCAGATAAATATACATGGGTAGGATATGATTGTGATACTAGAAATATGGCTGCAGTGTTACCAAGGCTGGGAGTTGGATATTCAAGGCTATCAAATCTTAATGAAGGATGGGCAAAAAAGGAAAAGGAGATGGCATGGCATTGATAGAGGATAATGAAAACAATGTATTAATGAGAAAGGTTCTTGGTGCAGAAAATCTAGGTGTAGAATCAGTCTGGACAGAGCTCAGAAGTAATAAGGGGCGGAAGGTATTAATGGGTATTGTCTATAGGCTTCCAAACAATATTGGTGAGCTAGGGGATGGCTGCATTCAGAAAATATGCAACAAAGGTGCTAGTCAGTATAAGGTTTCCTTAATTTACATATAGACTGAGCAAACCACATGAGCAATAAACCTGCGACGGATGAATTCCTGCAATGTTTACGAGAAGGTTATTTAGACCAGTACATTGAAACTATCTTAGGTTTCATTTTGTGCAATGAGAAGGGGTCAATTAGGAATGGTGTTATGAGGGTTCTTTTAAGAAACAGTGATCATATCATGATAGAATTCTTCAATGGGGTAGAAATTGTAGTCCAATCATAAACTAGGGTCCTCAACTTAAACAAAAGAAATTCTGAAGATATGAGGGCTGCAATAGGCTGGGTAACCTCATTGAAAGGCATGATAGTGGATGGGCAATGGTTAGTATTTAAGAGATTATCACATGCATTGTAATAGTTATTGCATTCCTTTTGAGCGAAAGAACACAAGAATAAGTAGCCCAACCACGGCTAATGAAAGATCGTTAGTTTTAGATCGAAAGAGAAGTCACATAAAGATGCTTGATGAAAAGCAAACTTGAGGGCTGTGAGCAATTTTGAAATGCAGCAAAGGAGGACCAATAAGTTAATTAAAGAAGAAAAGTAGAATACCCCACTTGCTACTTCTTTATTCGCTCACTTAAACAATCTATATCTGTTTAGTCTCCATTACATAAACAATATTACTTATTTCTGGGCAGGAAAGCCACATGTATACTTTAGTTTGAGGCAGCTGGACAATTAAGGGAGTTGGGGTTAGGGGAGCTCCTCAATGCAAAACATCAGCAAATCTTGGAACTGACTGAACTGAGCCAAGTTAGCTCATCTTTTAAAAAAACGTTTCATTCCAGACCAGTACTGTCATCTCCAGGTTTACTGACCTCCTAGTTTTACTATTTTATCCCTTGTAGAGAGTTTTTAAAGGAATTGATGAGGAGTGAATGGGTTAAGGAAGATATACATGAGGGTGGAGGTCTTATTAATAGATTGGAAGTCTTATGAAATTTGGGATGTCATTAAAACAGCTGGCAGGTTTATTCAGAGATTTGGGCAATTACTAAAGAAGCTTGGGGCTTCAGGGGTTTATTCAGAAGCTCATGGTTGCGCAGAATATAAGCCACTTGGATATGGCTACAGGATATATTAAGGGATTGAGGTTTTCATGGGAATGGAGATCAAACAGATTTGGGTGTGTTAAAGCCACTCTGAATCATAGAATCCTTACAGTGTGGAAGCAGGCCACTCAGCCTGTCGAATCCACACTGACCCTCTGAAGAGCATCCCATCCAAACCCAGACCTCTACTCTATCGCTCTAACCCCACACCTACATGGCAAATCCACCCAGCCTGGACACTGCGGACAATTTCCCATGGCCAATCCACCCTAACCTGCACATCTTTGGACTGTGGGAGGAAACTGGAGCACCCGGAGGAAACCCACACGACAGGGGCAGAACGTGTAAACTCTTATGCAGACAGTCACCCGAGGGTGGAATCGAACCCGGGTCCCTGGCGCTGTGAGCCACCGTGCCGCCCCCTGGTCTGCATGCAAGGGAGTTGCTCAGGTGTTTGAGGGGTGTTAAGGGAGCGGTGGGTACAGCTCCAACAATGCTGGTTAAACTTGACATCACCAACCAGGGCAACGCAACGTGCTCAGGGATTTTTGGGGAGGGGGTCATAGATTTTGCAGTGAGTTGTTGGTGTGAAGGGGGAAAACAAATTTGCATGAAGGAACTGGAATGTAACAGCTGAGGCATTGGAAGGGGGATCTTAAAGCAGCGGGAAAGGTTGCTGGAGCAGGTCAGGGGCACGAAGCAGTGGCTGGAGGCGGTACATCAATGAGGACACGTGCTTGCGTGCGCGGGCGAGCTCGTGTACGTGCGGGTGTGTCGTTTGTGGCCAGGCACCGCGCTGGGCGACTCGGCGTCTCCGGACGTGCGGCGGCGGGTCACGAAGGACCCCGCAACCGACAAGGATGGCGGCGCGGAGGCTGCTGGCGGCGGCGGCCTGGGGAGTCCGACAGTCCCTTCAACCCGGGGTCAGTGTGGTCACATCCCCGGGGGGGAAGAGAAAGAGGGGAAGAGAGAGAGAGAGAGAGAGAAAGGATGGGATGGGCGGAAAAGAAAAGAGAGGGGGAGGGGAGATGAGCAAAGTGTCAGGGGCAGGTGGAGGTCACCGGGGGAAGGGACAGAGAGCACAAGGAGCCAAAAGGAAAATTAAAACAAACTGTTGGGCAAGTCTTGCAGTTAGGGCACGAAATAGAATCTGCTGAGAGCAGGTTTAGCAACGCAGAGCTGGGGATACACGAGTCGCTGTGCAGTGTTATCTTCCCGTTACAATCTGTAACTTCCAGGCCCAATATATCACCCCCACTCTTCCCCCCCCCCCCCCCCACCCCCTCGCTACCAAACTTCACCTTCAATCCTAGAAAGCAACTGTGCTTCAGGGAAGATGAGCGCAGGAGGACATGCCAAGAGCAACACCAGGCGTAACTAAAGTTGAGGACTTTAACCTTGCCAAGTGTCTGGTGTGGAGGTGCCGGCGCTGAACTGGGGTGGACAAGGTCAGAAGTCACACGATACCAGGTTGCAGTCCAACAGGTTCATATTGAACTCACAAACTTTTGTGGTGCTGTTCCTTCGCCAGCATCGTAACCTGGCGTTGTGTACTTCTGACTTTGCGAAGTGACAAGAGAGGACTTTGTGCATGCCAAACAGCAAATGATGGAGCTAGGCAGTTCCACAACCAGCGGGTCACCTCTAAGCTGTGCAGTCCTGCCGCAGCCAGTTGTGAATGGTGATGGGCAGTCAATGAAATAACTGCAGAAGGTCGCTTCACAAATATCCACATCCTCATTGTTGGGGGAGCCTCGTCTTTTTTAGTGCAAAAGACAAGTATATGCATCCAGTTTCAGAGAGTGGGTGCCAAGTGGATGACACATCTCGGTTTACTCTAGAGGGCCCCAGCATCAAAGACATCAGATTTTAACCAATTTGATTCATGCCACATTATATCAAGAAAGGGCTGAAGTTCCTTGGTACTGAAAAGGTGATGGGTTCTGACAGTATTCCTGCAATAGTACTGAAGACTTGCACTCCAGAACAAGCTAAACCCCTAGCTCAAGCTATTCCAGTGTCGCTACAACACTGCTATTTAGCTGGCACTGTGAAAGATTGCTGTGGTTTGTTCTGCCCACAAAAGAGGAGGATAAATTCAATCCTGCTATTTATAACCACTGCAAATCAGGCCAATGGCTCGCTGTTAATAAAAGCTATGTGTAGTTAAGAGAGATGTGTTTTCCTGCATCTCTCTCAGTTTGTGTTTTTCTGCTTTGGGCTCCAGGCTCGGATCCACATGACTCCCCACAGAGAGCTGAGGTATGGTTGGTTGGCATACATGTTAGGTGACACAACAATGCGAAAGTTCAAGGACAACAGTAAAATCATCACCATTGATGGAAACCTTGCGTCTGGAAAAGGTGCCTTAGTGAAAAGCTTGGCTGAGAAACTAGGTAAAATGCTGGGGTTGTTTTATTTTTCTCACACCAAATGTTAAACATCTCTTCATTGTTTGTGCTTCTGTTTTCTGTGCTCTATTGCTTGTTGGACGGTTTAGGTTATAGATGTAGTGCAATTGATGTTTGTTATTGTATTACTGGATAATGAGGGCTGAAACATGTTGCAATGAACAACCATAGTTTATAACCTCTCCAAAGCAATCTCCTGGAAATTTTGAGTAATCACAAATAAAACTGAAACATCTCCCAAAACTGTAAGTGCAGTTGAGCAAGTCCTGCTGTTATTGAGGGCAATATGCAACATTGACTGCATTTGTAGTTTAGTTCCAGGTAATGTGGTTTGAAAATTATTTTGCTGCTCTTTTCCTAAAGAGGAACTTGATCAAAGCTGCTTGTAAATTTTCTGTGATGTGCCACAATCACAGTAAGGATTGTTCTCATTTAATGAGAAATTCAATAATCCCAGAAATTTAACTGAAAGAACCAGAACCATAAAATCTCTCAATTGTAAACAAAACAATCTTTGTCTACCTTCTCTGGACTACCAATGCTAATATATCTTTCCTTCAGTAAACGGCCCAAAAGTATCTCAGCTGCGGTTTGACTAATGTTTTGCATAGTTTTCTTCATAACATCATTAGTTCACAGTAATGCTATTTTAAACAATACCATTTTCTGTAATTGAAAAGGATTACTTGCAAAGTGTTTTTTTCTACCATGAAATGCTTTACATGTCACAAAGATGTGAAATATGCTATACGACAGCAAGTATTTTGTCTTATTTGAAATACCATGTTCTTATTGCAATTTATCAACGCTCTGCTTTCTTCAGACATGTTGTATATCCCTGAGGTTGATATTCATTACTGGGACTGGAAGACAGGTGATGGCCAGAAGTTAAGTTCTGCATTTAATGGTAACTGCAGTGTGGAAAAGTTTTACAAGGACCCTAAATCTCCAGATGGAAATTCCTATCGGCTGCAGAGTTGGATGTACCACCTTCGGACCCTGCAGTACTCTGACGCTCTGGAGCACCTTCTTCAAACAGGTGTGGACTTGAAAAGAAACTATTTATTTTTCTTACAAAAGCGAGAAGTCCAAATTTAAATAAATTTCTGGTGTGGCAGTTTATTTTCCATTAAGAAGGAGCAATTGTAAATTCATTTCACTCTGACTACTGACACTATAGGATTCTCCCATAAGATATTCAGAGTTTTATCTCCCAAGAGTTGGGCCTGGATTTTCATCAAGGCAGAATGACTAGGGAGTCTTTTGAAATCAGTGTATCTGCCCAGATTCTGGGATCCTGGCTCTATCCCCAATTCTTCCAGTTTTCAGTGCCTTTTCTTCATGGGTAAGCCCGGTTCAGGTTTTGAGGCCATATCCAGTATTCCAGACCTGGCTGGCTCCATTATAGGTTTGTGGGATCTCAGCCAGGACAGCGTAGTGATTCTTGGTTGAGAGTCCAGAAACTCATTAGGGTGGTAAATCACTTTGGTCCCAGGTGATTGAAAATTTCTCTGCCTCTCTGATCTCTGCTGCCAATTGCATAATATTCATTTACATAAGAGGTTTCAAGTGTTTACAGTTTTTGCCATTGACACTTTAAATGTTCCGGGTAATTTAACACTTTTATTCCTTTAAGTGCAAGGACTTTCCATTAAAATTATTCATAGACTTTCTACAAAGAAAGTTATGAATTTTTTTGAAGCCTATTTCACTCATCCTCTTGTTATGATAGAGTTCATTTGTTCTATGCAGTATATACTGGGCCAGTAGGAATGGAAATGCTATATGACTGTCATGGGGGGAGTCAGAGACCATGGAGTGGCATAGCCTTCTATATAGGCTTGAGTTGACGTGGGTGGCTCATTGTGTGTGACTGTGGGGAGATGAGTGGTGAAGATTAGAGGGCTCTTCTGTCATTATTACAATAACTGGGATGAAGTCCCACTACATCAAAGCAGGCCTTTTAACAGAATGGCAGTGAAGTCTGTCAAATTCTCAGCAGCTGATGTTTTGCAGGAAGTGGTGAGAAGACTAAAGATCCTTTATCATAATATTCCAAAGACTTTCGACTCCAGGATTTTTTTTATGGATTGGAAATGTAACTCCATCATTTAAGGAAGGTGAGAGAGAGAGAAACTATTAAGTTAAAGATCTGTTTGCCACATTGTTTGTGGGAGAGTTACTGGAATCTGTAATTGAAGTCAGAAACAGCACATTAATTGTGAAAAACAAAGAGCAAGCAAGTATTTATAAAGAAGAGCTCATGTCTGGCAAATCTAATTTAAATTTCTGAGGAAGTAACTAAAAGAAATTGTGTGAGGTCTGTAATTATTTGGGAACTTGAGTTGTGAAGTAGTGGTAAATGTGTTTTATTTTAGTTTTCAGTTCTATAAAGGTGACTTGTTTACTTTTAAGAATCAGGAATTTACTTCAGTAGGTTGAAACGGAATTTCTGAGAAATCATGTGAGTAAAGCTAAATGACTAGACCAGCTAACTGGTGAAATAATTGCCAAATGATTACTAAGTTCAGCATTTATGATCTAGAAGAAGAGAATCCAGAAGCAGCTTAAACTTAGAAGAAAACATGCATGCTAGGGTTGCGCTGTTAAGCGACCTGAAAATAGTCAGAGTAATTGGATAAAAAGCCCTGACAGAGTTCTGTGAGAAAAATCAGTGAGTTAGACTACCTGTGTGCACAGGCAGAGACAGAGAGAACCGCATCTAGTGATGGTAGCCAAAATTTACTGAAAGGAAACTCTTATGCCCCTGTCGGTTGAGTAAGAAAAAGTGAAGATAATAGTGATCATTTGTTGGATGTTGAATGTCTGAGAAAGATATTGCTGGGATAAGGGATTCATTTTTTTTCTCCTTATGACGACATCTTTCCACTTTTTATCTCCTATTGTGCTTTAATAAACTTATTGTTCTTTTGTTAAAAGTGCAATGGCGGCCTCTTGTGAACATGCTCGGTGACGAGGCACCATGGTAACCAAATTGCAAAAATAATTTTCTCGTCTATCAAGCCAGGTTTCTCTGTGAAATCTGACTTGTTCAGTATTATCATCACACTGTAGACCGGGAAATGTCAGTAAATTGTAGGTTATTATGGACTTCCAGAAGCCATTTAATAAGATTGAAAATAAGTGACTGTTAGCTCAAAACAAAGATCATAAAATTGAAGATAAATTAGTAAACTGGCTTGTAGATTGTCATTGATCGCCAACCCAAGGTGTAAGGATTGTGCACTCAAACTGGTAGAGTGAGATTTGCTGAGTTTCCCAGGGATTGTTACAGTGACCCTGACTATTCATTAAATTTGTCCCGGAATTGAATACTTGCTGTTGATGTCACTCTGCGTTGCAAACCAATCTTGCAACCAACTGAGCTAACTAACCCCCATTTATTCCTTGACTTATAGAGAGGAGACACTTGCACTGCATCAGGATGAATCCCTAGCTACATCACTTTTAGAGTATTGTGTACAATTTTGGAAAAAAGCACCTTGGATTATATTGCCCTTAGATGAGATATAGCACAGATTTTCCAGGTCACTAAATCTGAGATTAAGGAGTGATTGCATGTATTGGCTTGTTTTTCCTGGTTTTTGAATGCAAGTGGAGCTGTTTGAGGTTCTTAAGATTTTTTAAAGTATTCATAGGTTAGTTTGATAGAAAACTTTTCTGCTCATGAGAGTCTTTGGCAAGGAGACATTACAAAGTCAACCAGACCTTTCAAAAGTGAAGTCAGTAAACTCTTTTTGGTAGATGTGTGGATCACTGTCCCGTAAGGCACAGTAGAGGCTAGCTGAATTAATAACTTCAAGTCTTTTTTAGCTTAGCGTAATAAAACATAATGAACCAAGGCAGTTGGATTGAGTTAACATACGGACTAACCATGAATGCAGTGAATGTTGGAACAAACCTGAGAAGCTGAATGGCCTCTCCATATTTGTATGTTCCATACTTGTTACTGCCAGTCGGGAGGATTGGTGCCAAAAATTGTCATGAACCCAGTGTTGCCAGCATTTCTATACACTGTTAATTTTGCTAAAAATTTCATTGTAAATGTGGTGACTTTTATTTCATGTTAAAGTTTATGTGCTTACATATAGTTAAGTATACCTCGCTGTATAAGTTGGCACATTTTCGCTATTTTACGGCAAAGTATTGACTTTTCTTGAGGTGTGTTTCTGTGAGTTCTGCTTGCCGTCAGCTCAGTGAAGTTATTCTTCATTTGTGGGCTGAGGCCATGTGTATCTCCCACAATTCAACAAATGGCCACAAATGCCTGATCATGTTCCTGTTATCTACCAATGTGATTTTTTTTTCAGTGGTGTTGAATAGGTTGCAATTGCCAGCAGGAAACTTGGTCATTTTTGTCCCCTAAAATCACATGGCACTAAGACAGAAGTGAGGCCCACTTTTGAGGCCAGACAACAACTCGGCTTGTCACCTCAAGAACTAGCTGGATAAACTCTCTGGCCCATCAGAGGAGCTTAAATTCAGCCGGGTAAAGTTGATATACGTTGTGAATCACTTCTAGGGGTGGGTGTAAGGATTGGAGTCACGATAACGAAAAGGGGCATGAATTTTCCAAGTAGAAGCTGCAAATCCGAAAGATTCTGACAGCTGTATCATGGTATAACCAATTAACAGGATAAACATTTTCAACAGACTTTGCATTTTGATCCGTTTGTGTTTGCACCTTTAGGGCAAGGTGTTGTATTGGAGCGGTCGCCCTACAGTGACTATGTTTTTCTTGAAGCGATGTACCAACAAGGATATATCCGGAAGCAGTGTAAGTAATACCATTTTGTAGCAGCAATGCTTTGCACGATTTGCATTCTTCAACTGTTGAGAAGGATTTCTTTGAGCTGGATGTGGCTTGATGTTTTTATTGTCCTGATTCCATTTTGACCTTTAATGGTACAGGCACCTGCAACTTTGCCCAAGTTGCACTCTTCATCCGAGAGTCTGTGCCAATAGGTTTCTTCATCACTCCAAAGCACTGAGACCATTTTTTTACAATTGTGGAATGAGACAGTCCAAGGTGATGTTGGCAGATTATACTTTCTGTTCTGTGCATTACAAATTGTTTAGAGCACAGAAAGTGACTTTTCATCTTATTAGATCAATGTTGTTGGTCATGCTTCACACAAGCCTCTTCCTACACTTTTTCATTGAACCCTATCAATGTATTCATTTCTTTCACTCTTGTGCTTATTATTAACCTTTGCTTAAATGCATCTCCACCATTTGTCTGTCATTATTGAATTCTGAGATTCTTGCCACTCCCTGGGTAAATAAATTTCTCCTGAATTTCATTCTAGATTAATTGATGACTGCCTTACGCACATGGCCTATAATCTTGGACCCCACCCAAGTGGAGGCACCTTCTTTGTGTCTACCCTGCTTCCCAAACACTGATTGTTTGTCAATAAGTGAACAACAGGGCACCCAGCGACTCGTCTTGTGGCACCTCAAAACATTTGCTATTCCAAGTAACTACCTTTACTCCCAAAATTGCATTGATCCTTTGTTAGACAACATTTTCGAAGTTACTGTTTTGGTTATATATGAATATTTTGTAAATGAAAAGGAATTTAAATGCACTGAAATACATGCCTAAAGATTAACATAGCAAATGGTATATTGATCCAGTGCATGGAATCTTTAACTAAATGTCAAGTTATTACAATGGTGTATTTCAGCCTGAAGATCTTTTCATATTTACTGCACTAAATTTTGCAATGACTTTTTTTTGTACCTTTTTTTTCTATGCATGCTGTCAGCTGGCAGCTGTGGAGAGGAAGTGTATTATGCAGAGAACATGTTATGGTAATAGCCACATTCAGACTGATTTCTGGGAAGGTGGGACTATCTCATCATAAGGCATTGAGGAGACTGGGCTTATGTTCTCTGGTTTAGCTGAGTAAAACAGGATCTCATGGAAACTTGCAATATTCTTAAAGGGTTAGACAGAGTAAATGCAGCTAGTGTTTCCTCTGGCTGCAGAGTCGAGAACCAGAGAGACAGTCTCCGAATAAAAGGCATACAATTCAGGACTCAGATTAGGAAGAATCTTTTAGCTTGAAGGATAGTGAATCTTTGGAGCTCACTATTTGAGGGGGCTGAGGAAGCTCAGTAAATCATAGAAAGCGGACAGTGAAGAAGGAGGCCGTTTGGCCCATCGAGGCTGCAGCGACCCTCCAAAGAGCATCCCGCTCGGACCCAGCCGCCCCACTGTATCAAGTAACCCCAAATTACATTCCTGAACGTTATGGCTAATTTCAGTATGGCTAATAGACTTAACCTGTCAATCTTTGGACTGTGGGAGGGAACTGGAGCACCCAGAGAAAACACGTGTAAACATGGCGAGAATGTACAACCTTCACACACTGTCACCTGAAGCTGGAATTGAACCCAGGTCCCCAGTGCTGTGAGGCAGCAGTGCGAACCACTGAGCCATCGTGCCACCAGTGCTTAAATGACTTCAAGACAGAGATTGATAGATTCTAGGGGTCCAAGTCCATAGCTCCGTGAAAGTGGCAAAAGTGGATGAGGTGGTGAAGAAGGCAAATGGCATGCTTGCCTGCATTAGTCAGGGCATTGAGTGAGTATAAAAGTTGGCAAGTCGTATTGCAACTGTGTAAGACTTAGGTCAGGCAACGTTTGGAGTACAGTGCGCAGTTCTGGTTGCCACACTCCACAAAGGATGTGGATGCTTTGGAGAGGATGCAGAAGACGATTACCAGGATGTTGCCTGGACTAGAATGTATTAACTATTAGGAGAGGTTGGACAAACCTGGACTGTTTTCACTAAAGCAATGGAGGCTGGTAGTGGGGGGGATGACCTGATAAAAAAGTATATAAAATTATGAGAGGCATTGTTAGAGTGGATAGTCAGAGAAAGGTGGAAATGTCACATACTAGAGTGCAAAGGTTTAAGGTGAAGGAGGAAATGTTTAAAGGAGATGTGCAAGGGAAGTTTGTTGTTTAGACATAGGATAGTAGGTGCCTGGAATCTCCTGCCAGGGGAGGTGGTAAAAACAGATATGGTAGCAAAGTTTAATGGGCATTTAGACAGACACATGATTCGGCAGAGAACAGAGGGATATGGACAATGTGCAGGCAAGAGGGAATTAGTTTAGAATAGAATCACGGTTGGCACAGACATGGTGGGCCGAAGGGCCTGTTCCTGTGCTGTATTGTTCTGTGTTATCTGGAAAGGAAGGAGATGTAGGGTTACAGGTAGTAGTGGGGAGAATGGTTAAGATGGACTGATCATTCAGGGAGCTGACGCAGAGAAGGACAACCTGAATGGCCTCATCCACACTGCAACAATCCACAATTCAGTAACTTCTCTGATGTAGGCTCAAACCAGATTGCGTTCACTTAAAACTAAATAAACAGTGCTCGAGCAGGCCTATTCAGCTTGTTTATCCTGGCAATGATAGCTTCAACAATGTATGGTATACTACTGAAAACCTCTCTGGGCAAACACAAAGTCCAGAACAAATAAGTTGACAGGCTTAGCTCAGTGCAGTTTGATTTATTTTATGTGAAATAACCAAGACAAAATGTGGAACATAATCCCTTTGATACTGGGATCAGAAATTATATTAGGTCAATTTGGACCAGTTGATGGTGAATTTAACCAACACACTCAGTACATAAGCATGGTATAAAATGATTTATTCCAGTTTTAACAATTCAAAATGCGTCACAAAAACCACAATCATGTTTTGATTAAAAATTTTAGAGGCATTACAAGTATTTTGAAGTCTGAAAAGGGGAAGGCATGCTCCAATAGTTATTGAAAAGAACTTTACTGTTTTTTTCATTCAAAGTTACATGTGACCCTGCCACAACATTGAAACACCCCTTATTACTGAAGAATATTAAAGGCTGTTTAATCCTGTGGCAGGTGTCTTGGTTGTTTCCTTTGTCAGATGCTATGAATGACACATGGCTCGCTTGGTCTAACCATGAAAAATTTTGCTTGCCAAATTGTCTAATCATATACATTATGGATTCTGAGATTCTATAATTTTACAGTGCAAAAAAAGGCCATTCAGCCCATCGAGGCTGCACCCAACCCCCAAAGAGCATCCCCCTCAGACCCAGCCTCCTACCCTATTCCCGTTTTGCCATTGCTAACCCACCTGCACATCCCTGGGCACTATGGACAATTTAGCATGGCCAATCCACCTAACATGAGCATCTTTGGACTGTGGTAGGAAACCAGAGCAACTGGAGAAAACCCCACACAAGCATGTGGAGAAAGTCTGCGTAGATTTTGCACAATCACTCGAGGCTGGAATCAAACCTGGGTCCCTTGTGCTGTGAGGCTGCAATGCTAACCACTGAGCTACCGTGCTGCCAGTGCTCCAATAATGTTTAAAACCAAGATTGATTAATTCAGGTTATTGATGATATCGAGGGGTGTTTGTGCAGTGTGGTATTGTAGTATTGAGGTAGGTAGTCAGCTATGATCTAAAATGATGTAGCAAGTTCAAGGAACTGAATGGCATACTCCTGCCCCTATGTTCCAATACTGCCAAAGAACAAGAGCATGGGCTTGTTGTGCGGTTATCATTGGGTCACTCAATAATTAGAGTTACTGAACAGTCAGGTTTTTAGTCATGAGTCAGAGTTAAGATGGAGAGGACAGTGGAATCAGCTCTGTACAGGGCAAATGCTGCCCTTAGCCACTTTCTCAGCAACACAGCTAACGGTCACTCGCTCTGTGTAGTTGGGGGTTCAAAAGAAGTCCCATGAGCCATTAGTAGCACTCCATGAAGTTAGGACATAGGAGAAGTGCTGGAGAGCTGATTAAGATGGTCTACTGCAGAGCGAAGAGGCTTTGTCCCCAAAAGAATGCTGCTGTGGCAGGGTTCTAGTGTTTAAAATGCCGAGAAATTCTGGAAGTCTCTAGGTTTGACTGCGATTCAGGAAAAGTCCCAGGAGTTGGAGTTGCTTGGGGGAAGTGCATAAGCCAGTAATTATCTAGTGCGGCTGCTAACTAACTGGCAATTTCCTAAATCTCCAACTGCAGTCTTTATTAGACCATAACCCAATCACTGTGGTGCAATCCTGCTCTATTTTCAGGTATCGACCATTACAATGAGCTCAAAGGAAACAGCATTTGTGAGTTCCTTCCCCCTCACCTTGTTATCTACCTGGATGTACCTGTTGTGGAAGTACAGAAGCGGTTGAAACAGCATGGTGAGGTAAGGGCTTTGTGTACTCCTTTCGTTTTCATAGAGTAATAGAGCTGTACAGCATGGAAACAGACCCTTTGGTCCAACTCATCCGTGCCGACCAGATATCCTAAATTAATCTAGTTCAATTTGCCAGCATTTGGCCGCATATCCCTCTAAACTCTTCCTATTCATGTATCCAACCAGATGCTTTTTAAATGTTATTATTGTACCAGCGTCCGCTGCTTCCTCTGGCAACTCATTCCAAATATGCGCCACCCTCTGCGGTTTCCATTTATTTTATGGGCAAATACTAGGGTATTGACAAATGCATATATCTCGGGTCATTCATTGCATGTTTAGTATTCAATAGAGACAAAATCAGTTTGGAGGCTGGTATTTTAATGAATTATTAAACTTCATATACAATAGTGGGGAAGTTTTGAGATGCTTTGCTTAGCACTGTAGGGCTCTATTTTCAAAAATTCTGGGAAGTGACTGTATCTGAGCAGTTTGCGATTCCTTGCATCAGCCTCATGTACTGTGGATCAAAGGCAAAAATTGTGTCCTGTTGTCGTCACTTCATGATATTGGTTCAGTTGTTAATGCACACGATGTGTGACTTCAGGATTTATGGGGAAATAGGTTGTTTGCATAATCTCCTCCCCAGACCTGATCCACATGAGTTTCTCAGTGAAGTGGCTGGAAGCTGTAAATTTCTCCTCAGGTAGTAATCATGAGTTTGGAAAATATTCAACACAGCCATCGTCCACGTACTGTATTGTGGTCGAAGCCTCAGGCTGAGATGGTTACCTGCTTTAAGACTAAGCTGAGCAGAAGCAGTCTCACAGCATCCTTGGGGCTATCTCAATATAAAGACATAGTAATGAAACCATATGTAGCATTTCCGCAACATGGTCTTTAGACTGGGGCTTTCCTTCCAAATGGCAGAGTATCGCTTTTTCTGCATTGGCACATAGGGATGTTTAAACATGTTGTAGACATCTTGGAGATTGAGCTTGTCATCTCCCTGATAGCTTAGTGGAAGAACTTGCCCAAACACTTGAGGGTAAGGGTTACAGGGATGGGGTAGGGGTTAGGTCTGGAGGGGGAGTCTCTTTGGAAGGATGGTGTGGACTCAATGGATCAATGGCCTGCTTTCACACTGTAGGACTCTATAACTGAGGGAAGCTTCATTTACGCAACTCATTGGTTATAGATTTAGCTTGGTATCAGATGTACGTTTATGTATTTGTTGACACATCCAAGAAAGAGTTAGTTAAGTACGTGAGGGAGTAAAGAAGGAGTGGATGTGCTGATGGTGTGATATGAAGGAGGGTTGTTGGAGGCTAATGTGGAACTCCCTTAAAAGCCTAGATCAATGGGCTGGATGGCTTTTTCTGTAATTTCTATGTAATATCTAGCCAGGAGATTTATTTCGCTGCTTTTCTTTGTCGATTGCACTTTTTGATTCATTAACTAATCCAGCAAGAATATTACTCCGCGTTCACATTTTTATTTTGTGTGGGGTGAATTTTTGTGTTTACTAAATGAGGAACTTCAATCCTGCGTGATGAGAGCGTGGTATACTGTCAACCAGTGCAGCACTTACCGCTCCCTGCCCATTTACATTATGACTTAAACTGGATGCAGAGATTTGCTGTTTGTAATTCTGCTTTGCCATATGATGAGCTTCAATCTCCTACAGCAATACAAAGGAAAGGTAGCGAAAATTGCAGCTACTCCAGTCACCTTTCCATGTACAAAGCTCTTCGTAGGCAGACACGTTTAGAAAGTGTTGCATTTTCTGAAATGTGCTGTGCTTCGGTGTGCATAAAGGGCAGTTTCTTGGCTTCACACTGTTAGCCCCTCTTAATGCAAGACAGTTACAGATAATATGGTGCAATTTAATGTTTTTTAATATTTGCTTATGCAAGTTTTCACTTGTTTCATGTTATTTGTAATTTCTACTGCATGCTAGTGAGATTTTCCTGAAATGTTGGCGTAATTCACTGACAGGGAGATGTGCATATATTTTAGCATAATTTGCTTATTCTTCTGTTTCAGGATTTTCCAACCAAATTTTACATTATCCTGAAGCAGATGTTGAGTCAGTTGCCTCAAGTGCACATAATACACTATCCAGCAGCTTGAGTGCAAGCACCTAAACAAGTACTGATGGCTTTAGAGTGGTAATTATTCTTCCATTCCAAGACCCGTTGGTAAAATGTTGAGATTAATAACATCACTTGTGTTGATTGGTGCTTGATTATGGGTCTGCTTTTGCTATTTCCCAGTCTTGGTTCTCCACTTGAAATTGGCAATTCAGTGGAGACAAGCTATGTCCCTGAAGAGAAATTACATGGAGAGTTGAACTCACCTATGCTCTATAACCACACGACAGGTGGGTAGAACAGCATTGGCAAATGCCAAGGTGCATACTGTTGTGTACTCTCCTCCACACCACCACCACCACCACACCCCCCCCCCACCCCCGCTCCAAGATTCTGAAGGATGCTGGCATTGTCCAGAACAACAAGAGAGCATGGTTACACTTGTACAAAAATTAGCTTTTAAAAATTGAGACGAAGCTTCCTTGTCTCTGCTTTACAGAAGAAACCCTCCAAACTATCCAGGAACACTTTAACCTGTGTCCATTCTGGGTAACGAGGTGTTGCGTTTCAGTCTTTGGAGACATCACTGAGACATATCAGCTTGCCTAGTTTTCTGCTGTATTTGGAGATTGCGAATATAAACCACACGCCAGAGTATTTGAGCATGCAATAAAATCATGACAGCAGTGTACAAGATAATTTTCTGATTCAGCATGTGGATGCGCCTGCTAGAGAAGGTTTAAAACTTGATCTACCCTTGTGAAATAAGGCAGGGCAGGTGACTGAGGTGTCAGTGTGTGAACAGTTTGGGGCCAGTGACCAAAATTCCATTAGTTTTAAAATAGAGATGGAAAAGGATAGACCGGATCTAAAAGTTGAAGTCCTAAATTGGAGGAAGGCCAATTTTGACGGCATTAGGCAAGAACTTTCAAAAGTTGATTGGGGGCGTGCATGTTTGTAGGTAAAGGGAATGCTGAAAAGTGGGAATCCGTCAGAAAATTAGATAACGAGAGTTCGGAGACAGTATGTTCCTGTTAGGGTGAACGACAAGGTAGATGTACGGAATGCTGGATGACTAGAGAAATTGAGGTTTTGGTCAAGAAAAAGAAGGAAGCATGTGTCAGGTATAGACAGCAGAGATCAAGTGAATCCGTAGAAGAGTATAAATTGATTTATTGTCACGTGTACTGAAGTACAGTGAAAAGCTTTGTTTACGAGCAATACAGGCAGATCATAGTCAGCAAGGATGTACGGAACGAAAAGACTTAAACAGATGCATACAGATTACATTGCACAGAGCGTGTGCTAGGCGAGATCAGCTTATTTGAGGCTAGAGAGTCTATTCATTGGTATAATAACGGCTGAGAAGAAGCTGTTGCTGAACCTGCTGGTGTGTGCATTCAGGCTTCTGTATCTTCTGCTTGACATTAGAGATTGTAGGATATCATTAATGGGGTGCAATGGGTCTTTGATGATGTTGGCAGCCTTTCTGCATCAGCGAGCCGTATAAATGGAGTCGATGGGTGGAAGATTGGCCTCTGAGATGGGCTGTGCACACAACCTTTTGTAGTTTCTTACGGTCATGGGCACAGCAGTTGCCATACCAGGCCATTATGCACCCGGACAGTATGTTTTCAATGGTGCATCTGTAAAAATTGGTGAAGACAGTAGGAGTATACTTTGAGGGAAATCGGGAGGGCAAAAAGCGGGCATTAGATAGCTTTGGCAAATAAGGTTAAGGAGAATCCAAAGGGATTCTACAAATACGTTAAGGGCAAAAGGTAACTATAGAGAGAATAGGACCCCTTAAAGATTTAGCAAGGCCCCACCTATGTGTGGAGCTGTAGGAGATGGGGTTGATATTAAATGAGTATTTTGCATCAGTGTTTACTGTGTAGAATGATATGGAAGATATAGAATATGGGGAAATAAATGGTGACGACTTGAAAATGTCCTTATTGCAGGGGAGATGGTGCTGGATGGCTTAAAATGCATAAAGGTGGGTAAATCCCCGGGACCTGATCAGCCATACCCCTAGAACTCTGTGGGAAGCTAGGGAAGTGATTGCTGGGCCCTTTGCTGAGATAATTGTATCATCAATAGCCACAGGTGAGCTGCCATTATTTAAGAAAGTTGGTAAGGAAAGGCCAGGGAACTATAGACCAGTGAATCTGACACCGGTGGTGGATACGTTGTTGGAGGGAATCCTGAGGGGCAGGATATACATGTATTTGGAAAGGCAAGGATTGATTAGGGAATAGACAACATGGCTTTGTGCGTGGGAAAGAGTTTCTCGCTAACATAATTGAGTTATTTGAAGAAGTAGGAGAGGATTGATGAGGGCAGAGCGGTGGATGTGATCAATATGGACTTCAGTAAGGCGTTTGACAAGGTTCCTCATGGTAGGCTGCTTAGCAAGGTTAGATCGCATTGAATAGAGGGAGAACGAGCTATTTGGATACTGGCTCAAGGGTAGAAGACTGGTGGTGGTGGAGGGTTGCTTTTCAGACTGGAGGCCTATGACCAGCGGTGTGCCACAAAGATCGGTGCTGGGTCCACTGCTTTTCATCGTCTATATAAATGATTTGGATGTGAAAATAGGAGGTGGGGTTAGTAATTTTGCAGGTGTAGTTGACAGCGGCGAAGGTTACCTCAATATAGTAGGATCATGATCAGATGGTGCAATGGGTTGAGGAGCAGCAGATGGAGTTTAAATTAAACAAATGTGAGGTGTTTCATTTTGGAAAGGCAAATCGGGGCAGGACTTATACATTTAATGATAAGGTCCTGGGGAGTGTTGCTGAACAAAGAGACCTTGGAGTGCAGGCTCATAGTTACTTGAAAGTGGAGCTGCAGGTAGATAGGATAGTGAAGAAGGCATTTGGTATGCTTGCCACTATTGGTCAGTGCATTGAG